GACGAAATGTTGTCTCAGGAAGGCGAAGGAAAAGTCAACGTGGTGAACATGGGAGATTTTAATGGAGTAGTCGGAAAGGGTTTCGAGGAAAAGATTGTGGGCAGAAGGAACGACAGGTGAAATATGCTTATCGACTTCTGCCGCAGAAAGAAAGGAAAGAAAATTTTAATTATCTACCCAAATTCGACTCTGTTTCTGTGCATGTATGGTAGTAATATCGAAACCGCGCGGCATGCGGATACAACAGTGTCAACAATCTATGTGGACATTGGTTCTTCCTCACAAACGGCCATATCACAATTCCACGTACCACGTACCACGTCTTGAATGTGTACAGTAATGTAACCATGTGTACTTTACATATAAAATTAGATGCCTGGTGGAACTATGATTCTCGAACTATAGAAAGAGAAAATGCTGTGGATCGTTTCCTGCCTTAGTCATCAGCATTTTATGAAAAAAATTAATAATATAATATTTTAATAGATAGATGGTGGAACTATAAATAGAAATTACTGTAAATCGTTTGCTGCCTTAGTCATTAGCAGTTTATGAAAATTTTTAATAATATAATATTTTAGTAAATAGATGCCTGATAGAACTATAATTTTCGAACAATAAAAAGAGATAATGCTGTGGATAGTTTCCTGCCTCAATCATCAGCATTTTATGAAAATTTTTAATAATATTGTAAAAAAATTTCAATTATTGGCATAGTGAATGCTGATATGCTTCATAATGACTCACAACTTTGTAGAGTCAATGTTTTGAAAAATATTTTTGAAAGAGTAAATATTAAAGACAAAGAAGTAAAGAATACTCTATTTCATTTATCGCAGATATATTTGTTTTGGTGTATTCATCCATTTATTGTTTGTGTCTATTTTATTTTATGTCTACACTAATAAAAAGTTAGGACTTGGTAAAAATGTTAATTATGCCTTAAGACATATTCAAATAACCACAAGATATCTAAAACTGAATTTGTGATTTCTTAGCATCATTGTCCTCCTTTATCAACTTTTGTATTTGTATTTATTTGTTTTTCATATGAATGATAGTCTGCCCAATTCATGAAGATTTGTTAGTAAAAACTGGACTGGACAAATCTTACCATCTAATGCATGGTAATTATCTTAAAAACTTTTGTACAGATAACTACCATGCATTGGATGGTAAGATTTGTCTAAAGTATTAGATGATTGTTCTTTCTAGTTGTGATTATATTTTTACATACTTCAAATTAGTATTTCATGTATGTATTTAGCTGATTTAGCTTTGATTCAGCTCTTTCAGCAGAACTGTTTTCACTAAATACCATATTTATGATCTAAATTTAAAGTAAAAATGAATATTCCTACTACCTTATATCAGGATGAAGTAATGCTATTTACAAAAAATTTAAATTTTACTGAAAGTTTGAATTTTTGAGAAAATATAAAAAATACAGATAAAAAACGTGAAACAATAGAAAAAAGTACTACGTTATACTGTGAACTATCTACTTTATAGCTAATCGTATTAAAAAAACCTAAAAACAAACAAAATATTTTTCAAACAATAGTTGATTTCTGAGAGAAATCTGGACTGATGTCGTACAAAATAGATCAACTCGAGTCACTAATTAATTTTAATGAATTTGATCATTTTAAAATCGGTACATACGTTTGCAAGAATACGTCAACGAAATAGATCATTCATATACACATTGTTTTTTTTTTCATTTTATAGGTCCAACAATATAGAAGAGAAAACGACTTGACATGACGATTTGACCAACTAAAGATATATATTCAAAATGGTATAAGTTCCTAACAAGAACAATGTCATAAATTCTAGTTTGGCACGTGTTAAACTTGTTAGGCAAACGATCTTCTGAATTTATATCGAAAAGTTTTACAATCCATAAATCCAGAAGTTGTCTTAGAGCATCTATAACACTCCAAGCTGAATGAAGCCATTAATCAAAATTAGTACGAGTATTTTTTCCAAGAAAATTTTAATAATGAACGTTTAATATAACTGCGAATTTTCTGTTACAAAATTGACCTTCTATTTAATTTAATTTTGTATCCTAAATAAATAAAATCAACAAAATCATATCCGTTAATTATTACAAAATTTTTTTTTCATTAAAGTTGGCAAACACAGAAAGCACAGTAACACAAGAGTGACACATGCTTTTTATTACGCATGCCAGTGAATTCCAGAAATCCCTTGTGTACATAATACTTATTACATAGCACATTTTTCAGTTTTATCGTGAATCAACAAGATAAAAATAAAAACAGTATTGCAAAATATATGACAAAAATAAAATGTAATATTGGACATATGCTGCTCGATTTTTTCTGTAATAATAGACATATGAACTTTGTACAAAAGCATTGCAATAAATATGTCACGAGAGGTTCAAGTGATAAACTTTGACATATAAATATGATATTCATTTGGTGTTATTAAATTTATTTATTCATTTGCAAACACAATATAGTGCTATTTATATAATTATCTCTTGTATCAAATTTGGAACCTTTGTAAAATCAACTGCATGTACTTTACAAATTTAAGCTTATAGTTACCTCTGGGTTATATAATAACCAAGGAAATTACTATAATAGCTTCACCTACGAGTGCAGGCATTTTGCAGATTATTTTGTAATCAAATAAAGCATTTTCACTCAATTACTTTGATTTTCTCTAGCAAAGTGCTTGTGCGAATTACGGAAAATCGATTATATATGTACATATAAAACTACATGTAACATGTAATAATGTAACTATGCCAAATATTGTGTAATAAATTTTCACTATTAATTGCTTTTTAAATTTTCGATTAAGGAAGAATTCAATTTGTACTATTTTGCTACTGTTTTTCAGATTTCTATCTTTGTCATGGTCATATTCATCATCAGTCATTCAAACTATTGAAGATATAAATAATTTAAAAAAGTTTGGTTGATATTTTGTTAAAAATTTTAGAATTCTATAGAATACAAATACAGTGCAGAGAATTGCACTATTTAATTTTCCTAAAACAGCCAATGGTATTAAAATCTGGTTAAAAAGCTCATCACTTTTATTCGATGATTGATTCTTATGTTTTAAAGCCAGTTTTTGATTGGAAAATGTCATAGGACAATCAAGACGTTTATATTTATTATGATTCTAAGCATAAATCATTGAAAATTTGATAAAAAAAATAATATACAATTGAATCCATTCAATGAAAATTAAGAATCACAAATATTGTATGATGATGTAGAATATTATAAAAAAAATGAAAGAAAGTAAAAATAGGATATTTTTGCAATTTGATTGATTGAATATTGGTTTAAATAAATATTATTACTATTAAATTATTATTTGAAGATTAAAACCTTGAATTCAAGACCATTAGGTACCAAAAAATGTTAGTAGTATAGAAGTAAAGTTTCAATTATATGAGTAAAAGTACTTGCAAGGTACCACAAAGTGTCATCATCAGTTTTAAATTTGTCAAGAATAGGGGTTATTAATAATTATGAGAAATAATTATTTAAATCGTCAAACTAATTAAATTAGTTGGATTAATCAAATAAAAAAAATAATAAACTATAATATGATATGTTGCTAAAGAAACTATAGAGAAACCCATTTTGCTGTATGTCTATACACAATATAGCAAAACATGTGCTAAAAACATAATTTTTGTAATTTCTTCCTCAGCTTTGAACAGAATCTAGAAAAATATTCTACTCGTTCATAAGTTTCACATGAACATACAAATAATATGTTCAATGAATATAAATTTACTCAAGTGTTAGCAAATTTGATTTTCGATCAAAGTACATTAATTTGACTTACAAATTAAATTATGTTGCTGCATCACGAAATGACTCATTAAATTTGAAGTCATAGAAGTATATAATTTGTTACAAATCATTCAGGTAAGTAAATTTTTTAAATAAAGTTTTGTTTCTTATTAATGATTCATGATCATGACAATTCAATCTATATATATATAATTCTACGAAATAATATTTTTTTGAATACCAATCAACTTATACCGTTACATACAAATGGAATACTGTTAGAATGATTTTATATTTCAAGTAAATTCTAATATTAATTAGAAAAGAATATGGTTTATTTTGCATTTTATTCAGATTCGAAACACAGAGTGCTCAAAACAGAAGAAAAACTATAATGGATATATTTAATGCATTTAGAATAATAATAATTTTAATACTGATTTGATGCTATTAAATTGATAAAAAAATAACTTAAAAGAGATGAAGAAGTGGATATGAAACAATTTGGATAATAAAAGCTAAATGGTTCAGTTTCTAAATAAAAACTCTTCAAAGAAACTATCAAATATTGTAGTAAAATTAATCCACTATGCAATGCACAACTGATCATACCTTTTCAGCTAGAAGAACTGAATATAAATCTGATTTTTGCATGAAATTGAAAAGTAGGTTCAAACTGTTAAAACAGCGAAAAATAAGAGGTTATATTTAACTTCTGAAAAATATATATTAACAAAATTCTTAAAGAGATGAAAATCGTTTCAATTATATGACATCGACACCCGTCCAGTCAATCGGTCCAACACGAGATGTTATTTCTGTGTTAAATTACTATTGACAAAATTTTTGTAACTCAACTGTATTTAATAATTAATAAACTTGATGAATCTGACCGAGCCTAATGAATTTGATTGTACCTAATATATAATTTTGATCCTATAAAAGAAAATAGATTTTAAAATTCTATTACTACTTTTACCTCAGTCATTGATCACTGTGCCACTTGGGCTACGACCGAAGATATTTAAAAAATGTTGCTCCAAGTTTTTTTAAATCAAACTTTACTGTTATAACAGTTTACCTTTCTAAAATTCAAGCACGTGTGTTACGAATTCACCAGTTTTAGCATCGCAATTAATAATTACACGCAGTGAAGGTAATTTTATGATAATAAGAGAATAATTGAGGATTTGACATCAAACTTACCAGCGTGAGAAGTTTCTCCGGGCACATGGCCTTCAAGACGGAAGCAATCTGAAAGGTAAAATTATATTATTAGACTTTGATGAAAAATTAATAAAATATTTAATAATTTTGCAAATTAACTAATTTTGATAATTTTATTTTTTTATAATTTCCTAACTCAAAAATTTGTAAATTGTACGATTTGAATTTGTTTTTATGTGTTTTTTAGTTCCAAAGCGAATAAAAACGTCATTTTAGCATTTTTTCATTGGACCCAATTATTGGTACATGGTAATATTGCAAAACTAATTTTCCTGGTAAACTGCTTTATAATTAAGTGTAGATACCAAATGAAACTGATATAAAAATTGATTTGTAAATGATCACAAGAGTATGTATTATTTATTTAATATTTTGCCCTATTAAGTGTTAGGCAAAATCCATAAATATTTTAATATACAATAAATTCGCCCAGACCGAATTACTTAGATGATAAACAATATTACTTTGAGAAAAACTGTTGGCCAAAAAAGTATTTAATCTAATAATAAGTTACTCAAGTAACTTAGTAGTTTCAAGTACTTAATCCGAAAGTATTATCTATAATTTATAAATATAAATCAATAGTAAGAATTAAGATTAATAAACCAAATTATACTTGTGTTTCAATAGTTTTTCAGATATGCGAGGTTGATGGATGGCTGGATCCGCTCTCAATACTGGTATTGAAACAGATTATACGTTTTCAATAATGCATAATTCGATTTTGATGAAACTTGACATACATTGTTACTACACTTTACTAAATATTTGACAAACATTTAATATGGAACATTCAATAGTTTCTGAGATATACGAGGTCGATGTGTGGCTGGCTCCGCTCTCAATACTAGTATTGAAACTGATTGTTCGTTTTCAAAAATGCATAATTCGATTTTGATGAAACTTGACACACATTGTGACTATACTTTACTAAACATTTGACAAAAATTTAAAATTGGAACATTCAATAGTTTCTGATATATGCGAGGTTGATGTATGGCTGGCTCCGCTCTCAATACCGGTATTGAAAAAGATTGTACGTTTTCAAAAATGCATAATTCGATTTTGATGAAACTTGACATACATTGTTTCTGCACTTTACTAAATATTTGACAAAAATTTAAAGTGGAACATTCAATAGTTTCTGAGATATGCGAAGTTGATGTGTGGCTGGCTCCGCTCTCAATACCGGTATTGAAAAAGATTGTACGTTTTCCAAAATGCATAATTCGATTTTGATGAAACTTGACATACATTGTTTCTGCACTTTACTAAATATTTGACAAAAATTTAAAGTGGAACATTCAATAGTTTCTGAGATATGCGAAGTTGATGTGTGGCTGGCTCCGCTCTCAATACCGGTATTGAAAAAGATTGTACGTTTTCCAAAATGCATAATTCGATTTTGATGAAACTTGACACACATTGTAACTATACTTTACGAAGATTGTGACCAAAGTTTAAAGTTGGAAAATTCAATAGTTTCTGAGAAATGCGAGGTTGATGGGTTGCTGACTCCGCGCTCAATACTAACATTTAAAGTGCAAAATCATTTCTAAATATGCCGTGGACCCCCAAATTTTGTTTTACCTGTCGTGGACCCCTTTAAAGTTGCCATGGACCCCTGGTGGTCCATGTAAACCACTTTGGGAGTCACTGATCTAGACTATAATATTTAGTATTTCTAATTTTAGGGCAACCTAGCGGTGACCAATCTTTAATTTTATGTAGATTATATTAGATCTAATAAATACGTATAGATCTAATTAATTAACCGCGTAATTAAGTTTTAAGGATTTTTGGACCCCTCCTTCCCACTTTGTGATACGTGTTGATATTTAAAATTATTCCCCATCCTCTATCCGGCGGCATCCAAGTCGAAAGGGTTAAATTCAGGCAAAAAATAAATACATATGATATCTTACTAAAGCTTCACGTTGTGTTTCGTGATTTATTTTACCCCTCCCCCCTTGTAAGCCACACGTGATCGATGGAGTGCCCCCAAGCGTACGTAAGTTGCAGCAATGCCCCCAAAAAAAGTATTTTCACTTAGTCTTAAGTAAAAAAAAAGATACAACACTGGCCGAAGTTGAAATCGAGTGCGACACTAGTGTTTGCTGCAACACTTTTTTACCACTACAGCATGGCTTGAGACAAATATTTAATTCATTTTGGAACAAACTCTCTCAATTTTGAGAATCTGTGTTTTTAACATCCCTTAGAGTTTTTATGAAACAATTGCTTTTCATATTTCAACAATAATCAGAACCACATGTCCCATAAGCAGTTTTTGTTATAAATCTTAACCTACTATTTCTCGTTCTCGTGTAGTTTTAGGGCAACCCAGCAGTTCTTTTTATGTGTAGCTTATATTAGATATATTTAATATATAATATCTAGTAGTATCTATATAATATCTAATAGTGATAAGCATATGTATGTTGCAGCAATGCCCCCAAAGCAATTTCTGCTTCAGAGCTTATTTAACATCCATAATCTTAAAAAAAAATCTTATATCATACTGCTTGTTCTTGATATCAAATTGTCAAAAGTTGAAATGGAACTCGAATGTTGCAGCAATGCCCCCGAAAAGCACTAGGTAAAAATCTGATATACTGATTGATTGAAATTGAACTCAAAATAGCACTTTTTACCACTACTCTATCTAGGGATAGCTTATGAGACATTCTTTCAATTTTGAGAATCTGTGTGTTTTACAACCCCTAGAGATTTCGCTGATGTTTGTGTTTTGTCTCGTCTCCGACGACGATTCTTTCTCAGTCTCTCCCACGTGAATGGAAATAATCGTTAAAATTGTGGAGTGCGAATGGCACTTTATATAACGTCTGCAAATGCTCGTACAATTGGATTAAGTTTATGTCGGATTCCTAAAGTGAATCATGGAGCGCGTGCACACTCCAATATGTCTTTCGAGAGTTTGATATGAATTTTATTGATATCGATCGTAGTTTATTAACTTGCTTATAGGGATATCAATGTCCTTATAACATAACGGAATCGGATATTGGAATCTGATCAGGATGGGAAAAAATCAGTTCTGCATCCTGATCAAGGTTTGACGTGCAAACCAACAGAAGTCGAGGACTGAAGACTGAAGACATTATAAAGTGACGTGGACATTTTTGTAAAGTGAAGAAGACATTTTATGAGATTGGTTCGCAGAAAATACATATTAGATTTGTATATCTAACAGTGGCGCATATATGTTGTAGCAATGCCCACGAAAAGCGATTTGCACTTGGGATTGAGATTGAGAGATTTGTTATATCATACTGGTTGATATCGAGCTGGCCGAGATCAAAATCGAACCCTGGGCCAGTTTGTACTAGTCCATATTCTTAACAATTGTACGACTACGGGCTATGAAGGCAATGTAATTGTTGAATTTCGTGCAGTAACAATGTTTATTGATAACTTCATGATGCAACAAATCGAGCAATTCGTATCATTTCTTTTTTCTTTTGTTTCATTTAATTTATCTTTACAAATTATAGAGTTCTATCAATAATCGCAAATAATCGAAAATGAAAATTTTTGCATATCTTTACGTTTCAAAGGTTTCTGAACATTTTGGCATACCTTAGAAAAAAATGATGTATGTGTGTGTGTGTATGTATAAAACTAGAATCAATCATAAATACTTATAAAACAATTCTAAACAATTTTACAACCATCATAGTGTAATATGTTTTATGTCATAATTAAGCTACGGTGTCGTTTTAAGAACCTCATTAAATCAAGTATGTTTACAGAACTTAAGTAATAAAAAGCAGCTAATTTGATTGTCTTGAATATAGTGTTTTATGTTTGCACTGTTTGATAAACAACTTAGGAATTAAAAAAAATATATATCCAGCGATCCTCAGATCGAGTCCTGGTACTGACATAGAATTTGAATTGTGAATTTGAAATTTAATAGAATTAGAAGAGTATACAATAAGTAAAGATAACATTGACAAGAAAAGAAGAATGAAGATATCAGTTGTAAAAAAATCAAAATTGGATAGGAAAAGATATACAATACACAAACATTGTAGGTGGCTCAAAGCTAAATATGGCCAATAAAAGTAAAAATATTAAATAGTTTATTTGAGCTTGAGACCTGTAAAGAGCAAATACTTTAAACATATAGCTATTTTCTAATTTGATATGTTTCTATTAAAACTTTGATTACAAGGTTTTGGCTAAAGTTTAATTTATTTAGCAATAAATATGTAAAAAATTAAGTGCAATTAAACTTATCTAAAACCAATTAGTTTAATATAGTGTTTGCATATTAATACTTATGTAAATAAATTAGCAAATAATGCTTCAATGTTAATTTTATGGTTAACGAAAAAGATCAATCGTTAGCAAATGAACATCCACAAAGACATTTGCCCATAAAAACCAGGTACTTAGTCACGTATACTTTTTGAGCGAAACAAGGTCAAAGACTGGCTTCAAAATAATAACAATATATATTTTATTTTCCGAAAATAATATCAAAATTCAACGAAATTTCTTTAAATTTGTTTGTAAACAAAAAAACGTGTAAAATTACCAAAACAAGTTAAAAAGAAATAGGAATATAAACAGAAATGAAAGCGACAGGTATGTGAGCGAGAAAAAACATAAACATCAAAGCGTGCGATAGAGTAGGGGCAATGCGGAACGCGAAACAAAACAAACTTGTACCGGCGCGAAAGAGAAGGAATAATAATATTATCGAACGGTTCCTTTCCTTCTTTGCTCTCTAGACAGAAACAAAAATGGCCAAAATGTGGGTCGCCATTAAAAAAACATGTTTGATGTTTTTAGATTGATAGTTTATATATCGTATAGTACATATTTATAAATAATGTGTATGTGTGTTATCGCAAAACTGCTTTAAAACAGCCATTCAAATTTTGATAAATACTTTTAGAGTTTGTCAAGGAAAATATAAAAGTGGAATTGATTTAAAACAACATAGTAATCATGAAGAAAAAAGTGAAAAAATTGGAAAAAAGTGGCAGATAGATGAG